ATATATATATTATACATGCTGTAAGAGAGATTGGTGAGAGAATATGCTCAGTTCACAGACTTAACAAGAATAGATTCTGATAATAAACAGTTACAGTCAAGATTGAGGATTTACAGTTCAGAGTAGAGCTGCACGATATCAGAAAAACCTGTGATGTGTGATAACAGTGCTTAATATTGCGATGACAATATGACTTGCGATAAATGAACAAATACATAAGTATGTGTTCTGGGTTCTGAGCAAAAAAAACCCAAACAAAACTAATCATTTTCATTCTGGTATGCATCTTAGGTTGCTGTTTCATCTTTAAGGGTGATAAATGATTCAAGATTTATCAGTTTCTTCTAAATCACCCCTCTGAGAACATTACTCACGAGGATTGGTCCTACATTGCCCCTTGGAGGGAGGCAGAAACAGGACTGAAGGGGAGTGTCTCTCTTAAGCCCTGTCCCCATGTTTGGGCACAGAAGTGGTCAAGTGTCTTGGAGGGGCAAATCAGAGAGGGGGATGGTAAAAAAAAAACAGACAGGTCCTGCAGTTGGCAAGCAGCTGCAACCCTCTCCAAAACGTCTTATCTGCCAGTCCACAATACATCTTTGACTGTGAGAGCTCGCACTCCAGGCGCTCAGTGTGATCCGGACTCTACCATCATCTCCATCCAGTCTCTTTTCTTTGTTGCTTCTCGAGTCTGAGCAGCCATGGATGCCATCAAGAAGAAGATGCAGATGCTCAAGCTGGACAAGGAGAACGCCTTGGACAGAGCCGAGCAGGCTGAGTCAGACAAGAAAGGGGCAGAGGACAGAAGCAAACAGGTGGGTGCGCTCTGAAACCTTTCCTCTGCGCGTTTTGACGCACAGCCACATTTGGCACAGCGCGCCGCTCCGCGTCCCCTTAGGGCGAGGGTCGATGAGTGCGTCTTAATACAAATATAACAGCTTTAAGTTTGAAATCAGTCTTTTTATACAGGTCTTGTTAAAATGAAAATGTTGGAAAATTTCACATTTACTGTCGCTAAATTCAGTTTTGCCAAGAAACCAAGCTGCCATTTCAAACACATTTGATTCCCACTAATTATTTAAACTAAAACTAACGTGTCTCGTTTTTGTTCTGTAAAAATGTGTTTGAATGATTCTGCATCTATCACTTGAAAACAAACCTCCTGTCATGCGCACCAGTTGGAGGATGACCTGGTGACGCTGCAGAAGAAGCTGAAATCAACTGAGGACGAGTTGGATAAGTACTCCGAGGCTCTGAAGGATGCCCAGGAGAAACTGGAGCTTGCTGAGAAGAAAGCCACAGATGTGAGTTTGGACTGAGGGACTCATCTCATCTCACCAAGCTATTTACAAACTCCATAATCAATTATGTGACACCTGTGATTTCTATATGGGGGTTGGTAAATTGAGCTCTGGTGCTGTTTATGATAAATGTCAACAGTTTACTGCTTTGGACGAATATGTTAGTGTGCCAGTGTCAGGTTTCATGTGATCATTTTACAAGAAAAAAATCTAGACAAAAAAAATCTGTGAGAAATGTTTGTAACAGCCAGTTCTCCACAGCTCCCAAACTGTTGACAACTTATTAGTGACGTCACAAAGTGGAAACAATAAGTTTAATGACAACAAAGCTGAAATTTAGAACAGCTTAATTAGAGTTTCCACCTGAATTAATTTAGATCTAAATTCAAACTGACTGACAGGTTAAACTAATTAAATAGGCAAAAAAAGTTTATCAGAATGGCTAAACTATGAATAAATTATAAATTAATCGAACAACAACAACAACAACAACAACAACAACAACAACAACAACAACAACAACAACAAAATATTTACACATGGAGAGGCAATGTTGGTAATAGTGATTTCCCTCAACACAGTGGATGATTCAGTTTGTACTAACTGTCACAATGTAAACAAACAAACAAACAAACAAACAATCAAAAAGAAAAAAATTGTATAGGTCTTCTGGACGGGTTCTTCTTTAATGAAACGTTTCGTCTCTCCTCCAAGAGACTTCTTCAGTCTGAGAGTTTCAGGCTAAATTCAAGCTTTTAAG